ATGGCATCTGTTTTGATGTAATATTTTACTAAAAAAACAAAACAAATATAGTCTATCAAGTATACCATTTGGAGAAAGACGCCCCCCCCCCCATTTTACTATTTATGATGATATTTTTGATCAGCACTGATACTTATTATTATAAATGCAAACTTTTGTGTAAAATATAATATAGCTATCTAATCTCTGTACAGCTTTCCCTCTGGAGATGCTTGAGCCTTTCCAAGCTTCTCAGGCCATATAATGCTATAATACAAACCCAAATGTTTCTCAAATCTTGTTCATATGAGCATAACAACAAGTCTTTTAATTTTGAAACAAAAAACAGATTCAAGACATTGCTCTTGTTTATAATAAAGGCATAGCAGATACAATGGACGTCACTAAAGGTCACATCGTGCTTTGTTTTCAAAGTCTTTTCTGACCCCCTGACCATCTTGTCTTCATCCCGGTCACCTGGTCTCCGCCCCACTCAGCCTGTTCTCTATCAACCCTCCTGAGCGTGAGTGTGTCAGTGAGCAGCCTTCCCGGGAGCCAAAGCCTTCCTGTCTGAATCTTCTGTTGCCCTCCCCTCATCTCTCACGCAGGGCAGCCATCTGCTCATTGCTTTTTTCGGCGTGCCCATGTCTTTTTTGCAGCTGGTGCCCATGGGCCGTTGTGCAATGTGACAAGCAAAGTGCTTGACAAAGCCTGAGATGTTTGTTTGTTTACCCTAGGTATACTGACCTTATGAGATTACTCCCATAATGTCATTTTATGAATGCTATCAAGTGCCAAGAACTCAAGTTAGTGATTTGCAGAGTGATTGTTGCAATAGTGAGTGTGAGTCATCAATGGAAGACCTTTCACCCAAGCTATGGTTAATCCTGTGGATTAGGACATTTGATCAACGCTGTCAAAATCAGAATATGTTTTTTAATTCATAGTTTGCCTCTGCAGTCACCAGTTGCTAGTTAGTAGATCTGCACACTGTTCTCCTTTTGCTGTCATGGCAACATAAGAAAATAAAAAAGATGAAAGACTAACAGAACTACAGGGAGGAATGAGGAAGCTGCAATCAAATCTTCTATAGCCAGTCACTGTTGTTGCATTTGTTCTGTTATGAAATGCAGATTTTGCCTGAATCCCTTCGGTGGAGCATTCAGCAACTCAAGGTTGAAAGTTTACGTGATTGCCAAAAGCTAGCAGAGAATTCTTTTGATCTCATTGGTGGAAATTTCCACTCCTGGTGTTTGTTGGTGTGCTGCAGTTTTTAACTCTGTCCAGTCTGCATGTTATAGCTCCATCTTTTTTATGTAAGTTCATTGAAAACATCAGAACTCAAAGCAGAATGTTACATTCGTGATAACCTGAGTCTGGTGACAGGTCATTTCCGTGTTTTCATGCGAAGTTGAAATTCGCATGAAAACACGGAAATGAAGCATTTTTATTTTTTTATTTTAAAGAAGATTTTCCAGATATTGCCCCAAATACTCTCCTTGCTCTCTAAGGCTTGTAGATACATTTTTGTCATTCTTTTCTCTGTCTTTGTATGTGTGTACAGATGCATATTGTTTAAAGTAAGATTTTTTTTTTATTATTTCAATTGATCAAAACTAACAATAGAGACGTTTACAATGATTTTTTTTTTTTTGGTCTCTATAAACAATGTAAATTCAAATAAATGCTGCTCTTTGGAGTCGGACCTTCATCAAATAATCCTGAAAAAAAAAAGTTTCAGTTTCCACAAAAATAAAAAAACCTTTTGTTCAATATTGATAATAAAAAATGTTTCTTGGGCACCAAATCAATATATTAGAATGCTATCTGAAGGATCATGTGATTGAAAATTGGAATAATGATGCTGAAAATTCAGCTTTGCCCTCATAGGAATAATACTATGATTTAGGCTAAGGCCTGTTCACACCAAGAATGATAACTAAAGATAACTATATTAGCGCCCACACCAGCCGATAATATCGTTCTGTTAATTCTACGCATGCTTGTCTGTCACTTTAAATGCTCAAGATAGAGTGGCAAAGTGATGATGTCACTTTGTAGGACAACTCGGAAGCTAGCTGCGCATGGGTTCCCTCGATCGAAAAGCTATTTTCCCCATAGACTTTTGGAAAATCGCAAAAAATAAGATCTGTGTTTAACAAAGAGTTGTGACCCTTACACGTTTTGTCTATCAAGATAATCTTTACAAGTGAGTCCAAAATGTATACATTTTGAAGCCTGTAAAAAGTTTTTTAAAAACACAAGCAGACACAATAAAGTTTAAAAAAAAACACAAGCAGGTTATAACTGTGTGTTCTATGTCATAGATCAAAACGTGAAAATATTTAGAGGCTTTGTTCACCACAGACCTTAATTCAGCCGATTTAGCAAAAACCCATTCAAAAATCCCATAGACTTTAGAGCGAGGGAACCGGGAGTGCTAAAATGCTAAATCACTTCCGCGTTTTGGCCAACAGTGACGTCGTAACTTCGGCACTCTATTACAGCAGGATGGATTCTGATTGGCTGCCACTGTTTTTTATCATTCATCAGCTGGATAAAAGCGTTTAGTTATTCCATCAATATTGTTTCTCTGTGTTATTGTTATAGCTGTGTGAACTCTGCTATTCTTTAATATTGAGAACGATTTTTAGAACTATATCTTTATAGTTATTTTCCTTGGCGTGAACTGGCCTTTAGTTGTGTCCATATGACTTGTGTACTGTATTCCAAGTCTTTTAGATTCTTCATATGATAGCTTTGGTGGAGAAACAGACCATAATATGTTTATTAAAAGTTAATGATACTTGGCCTAAATTGAACTTTTTTGGAGCTTAAAGGGTTAGTTCACCCAAAAAGGAAAATTCTGTCAGTATTTACTCACCCTCAAGTTGTTCCAAACCTCTGTGAGTTCATTTGTTCTGCTGAACACAAAGGAAGATATTTGGAAGAATGTTTTAATCAAACAGATCTCATTCCCCATTGACTACCATAGTATGCATTTTTGCCTACTATGGTAGTCAATGGGGAATGAAATCTTATAGACTAAAACATTCTTCCAAATATCTTCCTTTGTGTTCAGCAGAACAAATGAACTCACAGAGGTTTGGAACAACTTGAGGGTGAGTAAATACTGACAGAATTTTCATTTTTGGGTGAACTAACCCTTTAACAGCCCTCTTTCCCTGTACCACATGAGGATGAGTAAATCATGACATGATGTAATATAGGCTAGATTTTATGTGTGGGTTCATGTGCACTGTGTACGTCGCAAAAAGCTACAGAACAATGGCTTATGATTTTCGGTGGGCCTGAACATTATTGGCTCTTACTCTTTAAGACCGCCGAACCAATGGAATATATTTATATTATATACATTAATTGTAAAAGTGTTGTTATATTACAAAAAAATAATAATCTTTACTGAATTAACACATTTATTTGACTGGTAGACTGTTATCCGATTTTGCAATATCTTCCTGAAGCGTCTGTGTGAATTGGTTCACAGTTACACAGAGCCTTGAGGGACTCCACAAGTCATGGATGTCCACTCAGACTTATGGTCTCCTGGTTGTGTTATATTACATGACTGAGAGTTTTGGCCTAATAAAGGTGTGGACTAACATTGCACTGAGGGGAGAAAGTTAAGGCCTCGCTGTGACCCTCTATCCCTCTGAACTGACCCTCTTTCAGTCGTGTGAACCTTTAGTTTGTGTGTTGGTAGAAAATAATGCCTCTCACATACCATGTCAGTAATGTTTTAAACTAAAATGTCCTCCATTTTCCCATTAGTCATGCTTTTGACACTTCTTAAACCCTTTCAAGACATATAGTAAATAGCTACCACCATATAGGCTGCTAAACCTTTTCCATTTCCCGCCTTATTGCTTATGTCTGTCCAGGCTCCTAGAGTCGCACTCTGTCTGTCCCATGATTCTCGTTTGTCCCAATCACGGGATGCAATGTGCTTGGAATAACCCTGTAATTGATTAGAAGCTGTGGTTTATTATGTGCTTCAAATGTCCTCTTTGTTTCTTTACTGGGGTGTTTATGTTCTTGTGCTCTCCGACTTTAAATGCGAGTCATACGAGAGCCAGTTCAGAAGGGTTCCTGATGTTGAAGTGGCACGAGCCCATTGAAAGATGTATGAAAAGTCACGGGATTCCATGTCCATCCTATATTTGGCATTGTAAAGATCACTGCCACTCCATGTGGGGTCATGGATATGTTACTGGGCCTGAGGCAGAAGTTGGCATGTATCTAGTTAAATGTGTGCTGTTTAACAAAGAGTTTAGTCAAAACAAATGTGTAGTGTGATTATTTCTTATTTCCTCTTTTAAACAATACTTCTCATCCGTTTTTTAAAAAGTGGGATGTCGAGCATCTTGTTTCATTGAATATCTGTTATATTTCTGCTGTTTGTTTTACATTGTCATAGACAGGTCCTCCTAACATGAAGGTCGGGGCTTGTCACATGATCTGAAACTCTCCCACAATGCACCAGACCCCTGTAAAGCACATGAAAAAAGTATTTGTCTGAACTTGCTAACACATGCTGAAGTGTTAATGAAAATGTATTGTATTAGGTTTGTGTGAAAATGATTTGGCAAGCAAAGGAACATAAATTAAATTTTTTCGATGATTGCATTCAAGTCTCTATTTGAACATCTGCAGGCTTTTGTTGTGCAATTTAGTCTGGATGGAAGCCAACAAGGACTTCGGTGAAAGGCAAATATCCGGGTACTAACCTGCACACGGTATTGCGGAGGCGTCAAGGTTCTGCCGTCCTAGACGTGTGAGGTGAATGTAGTTGGGGTGTTAATTGATTGACATCTGCACGTGTGTTTGTCACTGCTTGGCTCTTTTGTACTGTATATGAATATGTTGCTCACATATGATCGCAGCCGTTAGTAAATGACAACGATCCAATGATCCTATCAATTCCCAATGGACAAAATCAAGTTCTATCCTTTATTTTTGCTTGTTCGAGAAGCCTTTTCACTCTTTGCATGCCATGTTATGTTTTCCACTGTCTTCCACAGTTTCATAAGCCCTATAAAATCTGCATTCCTCGATATAATGCTGCATGGATGGAGTCTGCAGTATAATGGTGCCGAAGACTCAGGAGTGTCCATCAAACCATAAAGGTTGAATCCACTGCGCTTGGCTGAATCCATTTCAGTGTGTAGCTAATGGTTTGTGCAGCTGGTGTGTATCTGAAGTGATGCGGAGGCTCTTTGTGATGGATTAGGGCTGTAATCTGGGCCACCGCAGATTACAGCTTCTTTTCGTGGGCTTTCCCCGGAGTCATGTGACCAGGGGACAAATGGCTCTTCATTTCTCGTGGATGTGGATAAATGGAGTGGGCTGAGCATGAGAAAGCTGACGACGATGGCGATCGCTTTTTTCAGACCTTGAGAATCTGGCATTTTTACAGGATTGTCAACAATCCCTATAAGGACAGTTGAGATTACAGCTGGGAGTGTCGGCTCGTGACGGAAATAGATTGCTCTGGAGAGGTAACTTATTAACGTGCTGCCGTCGTCGTCTTGTGCTGGACGTCATGTGAGCCTGCGGCTTCCCTGCAGGATCCGCAACACACACTTCTGCTCGCAACCATAGCTAGCAAATAGGACAATCGGCACAGTGATCCTCACGCTCAGTCACATCACATGCAATCACTTAGTGTCCAGGGAGCTTCCTGTTCACGGGCAGCATGGAGGAACCTGTCGAGGAGTACACGTCTCCGTTCAACTTTGAGCAGGGATTGAACACTAGCTACCTCTACCTGTCACCCAAAGAGAGTTTCACTCCCCCTGGCTCACCCGTACCATCGCTCAGAGGTAACTGTGTTTGTTCAGGTGCTGTGTGTGTGTTTAGGTGTGGACTGTTTTTTGTCAGTGTAACAGTGTGAGACAAGCAGTGTTATGGAGAGAGAGAGACAAAGAATGTTATTAAAAGTACATAAGAGCCCTCTTCCTGTCAATTGCTGATGTTTTGGAGAAGCTCAGCCATCAGGAGCAGGTGCTGTTCATGTTGGCCGTCGGGTTGCAGAATAACTCCCAAACACCGGGATAGTGCGGTCTGAGGAAGTGCCATCTCTATTAACCATTCACTCTAGTATTCTGTAATATTTATTGTTTCTTCCCTGAGATCCACTCATAGTGGTTGGTTGTAATTTGTTTGTGCCTAAAACACATTTTAGTCATACTTAGTGCATTTTTTCATGCAATTGTATGCTGTTGTTGGAATAAAATAAAATAAATGTGTGTATGTTTGAAATTTGAATTTTGATGTGCTATTTTCTTCCCTTCAGATAAGGAAATATCAGACTGAATAAATCAGGGAACGTGTTCAAAATAAAACCAGTTCCTCATTTTTTTATCATTGGGGTCCTGTAGGATGCAGATCTGAGAGTGATCTAATGAAATAGCGTATGTATGACACGCCAATTCGTATTTCCATTGCGTTTATGAACGCCGTTGACTTAATGTTACATTACTGTATATAAATATGACCTACCCCAACCCCGTCCCTAAACCTACCCATCACTGGGATTAATACCATTTGAGTCTTCCCTATCATCCTAGGAAAAAAAAATATCGTATAACATTTTGCTTCGTTTCACACGGATATTTAACGGCGTGTAAATGCACGCGGAATCACTTGGACATTTAACGGCGTAGACATACGCATACACGCAGATAGCTCAAAATGCGTATAGATAACATGTTGGGTGGTGCTACACACATCCAGGAACGGCACAGAGTATGGTGAACTTGCTTACACATAATAGTCTGTTTTTAGTCGGTGCTTAAAGGTATACTTCACCCAAAAATGAAAATTCCATGCGTTATTGTGTGCACATGAACCGCGTCAGAGACTTATTGTTGAATAAATTTATTTTATTTTTATTTATTTTTTGTGCACAAAAAAGTATTCTTGTCACTTTATAACCTTAAAGTTAAACCACTGTAGTCACAATGGATTATATTAATGATGTCTGTACTACCATTCTGGGCCTTGAATGTGGTAATTGCGTTTCTGTTTCTGTCTATGGCCTCGCACTGAGACTGGGTGTGTCAAGGTTTTGATCACTCATTAAGCCTCACTGATGTGTAAATGTGGACATTCGTGTGCAGATTTGATTTTAAATGTTCATTCTGCACTAAGGATGAAGTTTTAAGTTTTGAAAATACAGAATGGTTTCTAGTGATGCACAGATATACAATATCAATATTTTTTAGGCAGAAAACAGATAAATGGCCAATATTAAAATTAGATTCCGTTTTGTCTAAATGAGTTCCAACATTAAAAACTATATATAAATTGTTTCATATCATACAAGTGAATTTATGCATCACAACATTATAATGTACAGTCACAGTGCCATTACACTTAATACATATTAGTATATTATTTAACGATTTACTTTAAGCGATTGTTCAATGTCGACAAAGGTAATCTTAATGTAAATTAGAAATTAGCATTCACAATAAAATAAAAGAAAAACGCTATTATGGACGTTTACTGTTATAATGATGTTATAACAGTACCGTTATAACATAACAAATGATGTTACTGTTATAATGTCTCTATATGAAATCATATTACACTAAACCATTTTATTAAAAAAATAAAAATTACTTCACCATTTTTTAAAACTATGTTATTGCATTAACTAAGACAAGTTGATGCATCCATCTCTCGTCTCAGTGCGTGTACTCAATCGCTCTGATGCGCGAGACACTTTGACAGCATTTAACTTAGCCCAGTTCATTCATTAGGATCCAAGCAGAGAAGAATTTAAAAACAGTTACACGAGTATCCACTCCCCCTCTCACTCTCCGGAGTGACGATATTACTGCACCGAGTCCATATATGTATATGGGCCGAGTCGAAGTGCTCCAAAGCAAAGCATAGTTATCCACTTTACACACTTAGAATTATTTTATGTCACCGTCCTTGGTCGAGCTACTCTACTCGTGTAAATAGGGAACACGTGGAGGTGTTTGGTCGCTTCTCTACTTGGCCCCTATTGAATCAACTGCGCTAGTTAAGTGCTATTAAAGTGTCTCGCACGCCAGAGCGTTTGAGTGCACGCACTGAGACAAGAGTTATGCATCAACTCGTCTTAGTTAAGGGAATAACAGTTCAATATGAAAAATGGTGGAGGATCACTTTAACAAACATTGACTAAATTAACAGGACTCAAATGACAAACGCTTAACTGGTCAGTACAGTAAAACTGTATCTATAAATTATTCCGTGACCAGCAGTGTTCCTATAATTCAGTTAAGATTTTAATCCCTAAATGGAAGAGCAGTGAGCAATTGGTTAACAAAGTACAAGTGTGTTTACACAGGGCCCTCAATCTCATTAAAACAAGGTCATTGATCAAGCCTGTGAACCATCATGGCACATCAGGGTTGGAAATACTTCTTTTATATGGTGATTCGTGAGATGGCAGCCTTTCGTAATCTTGTTATTTCAGATCTGGAAAGCCACATGTGGAGAAATCGATTCAACTCGAGGACAGATATTAATGTTGAGCCACAAATGTATTAAACAGGAATTGTGATGGTAAAGCTGGTGATGAAATCAGGGATTTCTGAACAAATCTGAAATGAGTTAATTACAGCTTGTGTTAGGGGTTAGAAAGAATTGAATTACTTTCTTTTTAATGTCCTCCGTGATTTCGTTTATCTAGTTTTTCCCACCACTTCAAGATAATGAGGCCATTTTTAAGCCAGTTTGTCGTGACTTTACAAAAGGTATTTCTAACATTAAAAAACAGTTTCTATAAAGGTAATAGAAGTTGAGATCTAGAAAGTTAAACTGATATGATCTTGCATGAAAAAGAGTGTGTGAAAGTGTGTATAATAGGTAGTACTTTGTGTCAGGGTTTTTTTGCTTAGAATTCCTTTGGAGGAATGAGCCCCCATTGTTGTTCGCATCAAACCGGTTTATGCTGCAAAACAACTCTATAGTTTAATCTTTCACCTTGAATGCTTTCATGCAGTGCTCATCCCTGCTCAAATTCAGTATGAAGTTCAGCCATTGGTTAGTCATAATTACTGTGCAAGTGATGTCATATCATGTGAGTCCTTCTGTAAACCACTCAACTGTTTCAAATCGACTGTTGAACTAGGATGACATCGTCAATATTACTTTCCCATGATGAATGAACGTGACACCAGCGTCAGTGCGCCAGTGTGTAACTCAGAGCGTACTATAACTGTCGGCAGATGTGTTTTGAGAGAAAATGGTGTATTTGATAGACATTGTGTATGTAAGTGAACATAGAAGGTGGGAAAAGACTTTAATTTATTCAAACTGAAAATTACTGCTGCTAATTTAGGAACGTTCACCCTCCCACTTAGCCAAAACTTGTATGATCTGTATTTAATTCATCCTGTTCAGATTAGTAAGAAAGTAACCAGTTCATATAATCATTGTTCGGTGCATTTCAATAACGTTCTGTTAATAATTATATTATTTGCTTTGTACCAAAGTATGGACTTTCCTACTAGCATCAAGTCGCAAAAGTCTTGTTAAACTTACCATACACATATGCATATATTCTCCTCACTTCTGTTTCTAATTACCTCTGTGTTGAGTTCAAGTGGGAGGTCTGCCTACCAGTTTTTCCAGAAATACCAAACAAGCTGCCTACAAATGAGTTGCACACCTTCCTCATGTGATGCAACTTTACATGCAGTTTCTTCCTCAAAACACGTTTCAAACCTCCCAGCTGCAAGCTGAGACCTGAATCTCTTATTTGACCTTTAGGCATAAAATGTGGTCCATCAAATGGAAATGGAAATGAAAAGCAAGCTTTGAATTAAATTTTTTGGTCAACTAACACAAATACTCTACTTTTAAAGTCTGGGATCAGTGTTTAACAAAGTGAATGGTCTTATCAGGTAATTTTGTTAATCCAATAATTATGTAAAGCACAAAAACACTGATTTGACTAAATAAGAAAAAAAACATCAGCTGATAACATTACAGTCAAGTCACCTTTATTTATATAGCGCTTTTTACAATACAGATTGTATCAAAGCAGCTTCACAGTGATAACATGAAAATAATACAACACAGATCAATAATATTATTGAATATTAAATGTCCCCAACTAAGCAAGCCAAAAGCCAAGGCAACAGTGGCAAGGAACCAAAGCTCCATCAGGTGACCGAATGGAGAAAAAAATCTTGGGAGAACCCAGGCCAGTTCTCCTCTTGGATCGAAACATTAAGAGTATTTGTCCATTTCCATCTGTTTGTAAGTCGAAGTAATCTCCGGTGTGGAGACGAGTTGTTGAGGATCAGTGCCGATGGCTGTCGTGTCGATGAGGCCGGCACTTAAGGATGAGTCGGGATGGGTCCAGGCGCAGGTCCACCATAGAGGGTCCCTCGGGATAAATTGAGAGACTAATATTAGCGTAGACGAGACGCCATCCTTCTTATGATGTACCAAGTACATCAGGATTTATGGGACGTGTTCCCAGTTCCGGCTAATCTAAACTATCCTGCCTAATTTTGAATTAAGGAAGTCTATAGTGTGTTATGTGTATGCTAGGCCAAAGACATGTGTTTTTAGTCTATATTTGAACTGACAGAGTGTGTCTGCTTCCCGGACAATTTTAGGAAGATTGTTCCAGAGTTTGGGTGCTAAATAGGAAAAGGATCTACCACCTGCAGTCGATTTCGATATTCTAGGTATTATCAGTGAACAGTGAACTATACAGTGTAGTGCAGATCTATTCATTCAGGGCTGTCATATTTTTTTCAGTTTGATTGACAGTGTGCTTTTCTTCCTAGTTATAAGCTCACTGAATAGTGTCATCCAGGAGTTTTATTATATATTTAGTATTTCCATTGCATGGGCTGTCAGTGAAGGCATCAAAGTACATCTTCTAAACATGTGTGAGCCCTTGGGTGGGTGTCCATCACATGACAAAGACGTTATAAAGTTTTAAAGTACTTTGACACATGACTTCTCTCTGCCCTCCTCATCTTCCTTTATGTTTTTCTTTCGCCTGATGTCTGACACAATCGCTAAATCAGAACCAGAATCTTCCTACCATTCACCACTGAGCTAACAGGACTTCAGGACACTCAGACAGTTCAACTTGAAGTGAACTAAAACTTACTTGATGCTAAAATTCATATCACAAAGATTCAGTTGAATATGTTTATGGAACTTCTAATTGTTTTACCATACGAAAGCCCATTTATGCATCAGAATACAAAAGTACAAAGGTGATGCCAGTCACAAATTAATGTAACTTTATATTAATTAAAAATAATGACTATTTCTTGTAATTGTTTGTAACTTAATATCTCACAATGTGACTATTGTAATTGTGACTTTTTTTCTTGGAATTGTAAATTCACATATCGGAGTGTAATTTTATTTCCTGTAATGTGACTTTCTCATTATTGTAACTAAAATCACATTATGACTTTCTTGTAATTGCAACATAGTTAGAACTATATCTCAGTGTGTAATTTTATTTCCTGTAAATGCGACTTTTCTCATATTGTTATTTTAAATCTCATAGTGTGGTTTTATTTCTTATAAAGTGACTTTTCCTCATCTCAGTGTGATTTTATTTCTCGTAATTGTAATTTTATCTCACAGTGTGACTTTCTAACTGTAACTTTTTTCATTATTGTAACTTTTTTCTTTACAGTGTGACATATAAAGTGTCTCACCATTGCCCTTTGTGGAGTTCAAACCTGCAGCCTTTTCTAAGGCCAACAATTTTAAAATATTTCATAGCTCATATCTTTGTTTTTGTAGGGAACCAGAGGCCAGACTTCATTCCAGAAGTAGGCGAAGATGCAGTGGATGCAGTGCCCTGCACAGCCCTAACTGAGAAAGAGCAAGCAGATCTCTGCAGTGAACTAGCTAAGGTCGATTCAAGCATTCAGTTTACTTAGATTTCAACATCTCTGCAGCCATTCACTGCCTGAGATTCTCTCAGGACCAAGTGTGACTGATTCTCAAGGCTAAACTCATTTTGCAATGCCTACTCTCTTCACTATTTTGTCTTGTAGTTGGAGCAGCCTCTAATAGATAAGCTATATCAGTGATTTTTGGGAGTCTTACTACATTTTTATTTATATCTTCCATGTCGGATGAATTTTTCTGTCCTGTTTCCCTACAGGTGGAAGATGAGATCCAGACTCTTTCTCAGGTGCTGGCAGCCAAGGAGAAGCAGGTGGCGGAGATCAAGCGGAAGCTAGGCATCACTCCACTCAACGAGTTTAAACAGAACCTGAGCAAAGGCTGGCAGGAAGTCACTACCTCCACTGCGTACGTGCCCTCACTCGCCTCAGGCATCTGCGTGCCGCCCGCCGCCTCTCGTACTGCTGCTGCGGAGCGGCTCCATCTGTCAATGCTTCTGTGCATTCACACTTGCTATTTGACTGAATTACATTAAAGAAGTACAGTTGTGAACATTATGACTTAACTAGCTCGCTCCAGCTGTTAGAAAGACATGATCTGTTTTTTTATGGTTGCGTTGTGCTGTTGGTAACATTTTTTCTACATGTCCTGGACAGGTATAAGAAGACCTCAGAGACCTTGTCCCAAGTGGGTCAGAAGGCAACGACAGCGTTCTCCAGCGTGGGCTCAGCCATTACCAGAAAGCTGGAGGACGTAAGGTGAGAACGGAAATTTGAAATCCTTGTCTAAGTTATCATCATTTGATTTAATTATCCCTTGTACCCTTTTGACCTAGTAACAAATGAATGAACACTCACTAATAACTACTAATATTGTCTGTTCTAAACCACTTTTGTTACGTTCACACAGCATGAGATAACGTTCATCACTCCTGTTCGGAGTTTCAGAGTTATTTTATGAGAAAAAGTAAAGGGGAATGGGACTACTTGAAGTAGTCAAAAGTCCAGTTTGGGAGGTTATGTGGTCAGAGACTGAGACACAACTCCTGTTAAATGCTGGGGGGAGTTTTGACCTGAGGACGAGTTGTAGAAGTTTTCAAAAATTTCACAAAATTGAATCTTTAAATATTGAAAGTCCGTGTAACCAAAACCTTGATACTTTTATTCTAAAAGAAACATACATTTTGCTCATCAAGTATGGTAAACTCAGCTTCCATTATCTTTAAGGACTCAATTGAACATCTTAGTATGTGCTTTATTTATCTGTCAGTGTGTTTACAAGCATTATTTGAGACAATAGAAACTTGAATTCAATTATCGGATCTGCTTCATCTGTGTGAACGTGGCCATTGTGGTAACCACTTTTACATACATGTTTAAGTCTTTAGCATAACACTAATGGACAAAATGGCAAAGGACTGAATTTTTCACCCACACACTGGAATTACCAAAATTGAGGTAGAATAAAACCATTAACCATAGACACCCACCTCATACACTGAAGTCAAAGGAATTGACATGCGCTCAATTTCACCATCTTACGACACTCTTGCTGCAACGCTGGCAACATTGTTAACTGTTTTAGCTAATGACACCTCTGCCATTTACAGATTACAGTCATTTTCCAATTCTTTTGGGTAAGACTGTTTACAGAGGCTTCAAACAAAAGCCGGTTATTTTGGCTGCTACACCTCTTCGTAGTGTGATGAATGGTTTTATGGTGTGGCATGCAGTTAGAGGTAGTGCTAGTCTCCCATTTCTTCTCCTGCATGTTTCAACATTGCATGCATACTTTGTCTTCTCAAACCTTTACTTTAAAGGGTTAGTTCACCTAAAAATCAAAAAACGTGTCCTCAATTACTCACCCTCATGTCGTTCCAAACCCGTTAGACTTTGGTTCATCTTCGAAAACAAATGAAGATATTTAAGTTAAATCTGAGCGATTGAAAGTCCACACAAGTGCCATTTTTGTTGCAACTTAAGAGATCGTTAACCGAATCTATATGAATCGAGTGGTTTAGCCCAAATGTTCTGTGAAAAATTTAGGCTTTTATTCACATAATGAAAGTTTTATGTGAATGAAAGCATAAAATCAATCTGCTCATCAAATAAAGTGATCTCATCTCCTCAGAAAATTTGGACTAAACCACTTTGTTCATCATCTATTTATGAACGTTTTGTGGCATCAAAGTGGTAGTTGCTTGAACTGTCAATGGAGGGACAGAAATCTTTCAGATTTCTTAAAAATATCTTTATTTATGTTTTAAAGATGAACAAAAGTGTAAAAATTTGCTTTATAAAGTAAACTTTTGAGTGAACTAACCCTTTAGTTTAGTGCATAAATGTGTCATGTACATCATTCCATATTACTGTTTTTCTTCTGCTGAACACAAAAGGATACATTTTGAAGAACCGTCTTAGTCCATACAATGAAATTCACTAGTTCCATAAGATAATTTTTCAAAATATCTTCTTTTGTGTTCAGCAAAGAAAAACAGCAAAGTTCGGAGTAAAAATTACAATATTCACTTTTTTTTTTTAACTATTCTTGTAACAAAAAAAAGTACCAGTAATTATGCTTTTTTAATAGATCTTGTCATCAAAGAAAGAATAAATAGAAGTCAATAAGATGATTTCCCATCAGTCTGCTTTCTGTCTAAAAGGCAGCACCGTATGGCATTCTTCATCGTGTATGTGCTCATATCCCACACGAATCTATCCCTCCTCTTGCTGTCGATCTGCTAAACAAATCATCCCCTCTGACAGTGATGCAGTCATGTTAAAACCCTTTTTATTCCCTGCTAATTCCCTCACACACCCTGTTCATCCAAACTGGGCTTCCCAGCTGTGGTGTGAATCCGAGTCAATGATAGCGGTAATAAAGTCTTAAACCCCTCATGGATTAAAGCCTTATTCTCTTACTCAATTTCACGCAGCATGAAGGGCTGAGGTGTTTTTTTTTTCATGCTGATTATAAACTCAGACATGTGTAGGTGCATGACTTTATTTCCCCTCTTGTAATGCATCTAATACTCACAGCTTTAGCTAACTCCTATTTGCTCTTCTTTGCTGCTGACGGATAGTATACGCTCCATACAGCACTCGGCTAGTATGCCAGTGATGAGGTAAGGAGCCGTTCTGGCAGACTAATACAATCCTCTGTATTTTACAGGAATACCTGATTCTGATTGGCCAGTTGTGGCATTCTGTGGATTTTGTGCATTTCATTAGGATTTAGAGCACAGCCATGGTTGATATACTGATATACTTTTCCATATTGATTTTAAAGTGTGAAGATTCAGTCTGTTTTAGTTTATCATTATCACGTCTCTTCCAGGAACACACCCACCTTCAAGTCATTTGAGGAGAAAGTGGAAACCTTAAAGGTGAAGGATAATATCAACACTGTGTATGTGCTGTGAGTTGAAAATGTGGAAAAACCCAGTCTCATTTCTGACTTTGCAGACTAAGATGAGCCCGACGGCATCGACAGGCGATATCGAAGAGGTTTCAGACTCCACACCTGACGGAGAGCCCGTGGTTGAACAGCCAGTGGGAACGTTTCTACCAGATCAACAAGCAGACTGAGGATCTAGCCTCAAACGCTCCTCTCTGTTTACCTCCTTCTACTTCACAGCATAGTTAGTGAGCTTTGCTTTGTGGCCATTTTTTTTTGTCTACTGGAGTCTGGTTCATCTCCAGACGGGACGTGGTAGTCCTACACTGGAGCAGATGTGTCGGGAGTGTGAGATGAATGTTCAGGCTGTCCTTCAAAGGTCCCTTTTGAAGAAAATCTCCTGAAGTCATTATAAAAGATTGAAATATAAAATTTAATCTGATTTTCTTTATTCGTGTACATTTTCTGCAACACATCCAACTACTTAAAATCACCAAACAAATTGACCAAATTTCATTGTCTGTGTATAGTTATTTTTCCATTTTAAAACAAATGCCAAAAATGCAGAACATGAGTTATGTCTCTAAGTGTGTACTTTAAACAAAAAGATTTTGCATAGTATGTGTATTACTTTAATACAAAATATGATCAAATAGTGACGTTACAATATTTCATTAATCTTTTGCTTTACATTGGATTCTAGTTTTAGAGAGTTTGTGTCATAAAATGAGCATACTTGTGTGCTTTTTGACTGTATTTCCGTAGCGTTAGGATAGTCACACCACTGAGACCCCAGTGCCTTTTGTTGCTAAAGATGAGGTGATTTAAAGGGATAGTTCGCCCAGAAATTAAAATAATTTACTCCCCCTTTAAGTTGTTCCATACATTTTTGCTGGACACAAAAGATATTTTGAAGAACATGAGTAACCAAACACTGATTCTATAGTATGGAAGAAAATAAAAAAAATACTATGGAAGTCAATGGGGTCCATCAACTCTTTGGCTTCTGACATTCTTCAAAATATCTTTTGTGTTTTGCAGAAAACTAAAAATCACACTGGTTTGGAACAACTACAGGTTTTCCAAACAACAAGTTTGGAGTAAATGATGGCAGAATTTGTCCTTTTCAGTTATACTATCCCTTTAATCCCACTTTGAGGGTGTTTCTGATGGCTTTGTAATCGGACCACTGCTGTAGTTTTTTTCAGATGGGATAGATATTAGTCTCCTAGACTATATGACAGCTCTTCCCTGTTGTTTTAAACTGTCCAATGCAGCCAAAAATATGTGTTGATATAAAATTATTAGCTTTAGATCCAGTGCAATGACGTAATATTTCCAAGCACTAATTCCAGTATTGTTAATGGATCTGCTTACACTAATGCCTGCTGTCAAATTCTTGAACTACACATTAAGTTGTTATAGGTTAAATAAAGGTATATTTTTATTGATATAGTTTGAGTTTGTAGATATTAAAGTCAAATGTATGATTATAGTTAGGTGCAGGGGCTGCTGCATGTGGTACTTAACTGTTTTTTGTTGTACTTATCGTTGTTGCATTCAAAGCAGATGCATTAATATCATTCTTGGCTCTTAATTTGAATGTACTTTTGTACTTTCATATTTCTTGCATTTTGCTTTGATATATAGAGAGAAACAAATGTTTAATGCTTGCTGCTATGCTGTTGCTATATATATATGAATTTAGACGTTTACAGAGGTTTAAGTTTTTGATCTATCAGTCTAGATCTGATAGTGATATCCTATATATGAAAATAGTCAACAGCAATCTGTTTAAAACAATGTTTGTGTGTTTTGTGTTGCGACTTGCTAGATGGAGGTTGGAAATCTCCAGTGCGACCAAAAATGTTTTAATGTGTCCCCTTCCGCCTCACTAATGTCATACTGTTGTTCAGGTGTTGTATGTTTCCGCTTTGCTCACGTCCTTTTGAATATGGATGTTGCTTTTTACTGAATGTCGCTAATTGGCATTTGTTTTGGGTAGCAGTTGTATTTGAATATGCTATTGTTCATTTAAAATTAGCACCCTGAAAGACTAGATTTACTTTAATATAAGCAATTTGTTCCTTGTTCCTTATGTCCGATGCATAATAAAGTACATCACACACCGTCTTTGTCCAGCAGTCATTCTTTGAAATGTTGCAGTTACGCAATGCAGCTGCACTACTGCTACAGAACACTAGATGGCACCATCATGTTTACTTTCTCAAGGTGACCAATGTCAAAAGATCTGTAATAAAATTATGGTTTTGGCTGTGAAGTATTAAAAGGATAGTTCACTTTGAAATTAGTTTTTGATATGTTTTAGCTTACCTCAAGGGTCTACATCACACATTGTTACTTTTTTACAGTCTATGATTGTTACACGGAGATTTCGGAAGTTTCACCTTTCACTATACATATTTACCCGTATTTATCTAAATATGTATAGTGAAAGCATAGGGGAGTGAAAGGTAAAACTTCCAAAATCTCCTAAACAACATAGATATGGTAAACAATGAGTGATGTAGACGCGCGAGAGATCACTTCCGGCAACGTCTGGAGACGGTACAGTTCGGTTCAGTTGGACATCTAATTCAGTTCGACGGCTGAGGTAAAAAGAGGTAAAGACTGTATAAATACTGTTTTTTTTCCTCACATAAACCACTTGTTTCGTGTTTTAGGCCATCAGTGTGTACTTACATTTACGAGTCATTAAATCATGTTTAATTTTGACTTTTCTGTGCATGCTCTTTGAGGTGGAGCCCCTAAAACTGGACTGACAGACAAGAACGGTTTGACCAAAACATTTCATAATTGAAACTACTGTGGAAACAAAGACACCTACATCTTGGATGCCCTTGAGGTAAGCTAAAACATATCAAAAATTAATTTCAAAGTGAACTATCCCTTTAAATAACGCTGTACTGTAACTGAGTCGCATTTATAATTGATAGTTGGCAACTAAACAATTCAGATGTTAAGCTACATTTGTCATATTATTGTTGAATGGCTTCACTGTAAAACGTCTAGGAACTGGAAGAGTGATCTGAGTTCACGTCTTGTCTATAAACGTACACTAAATAAACATCTTTTAGGGGTTTAACAGTATGTAGGGAGAAATCTATTATCAAACATTTTACCAGTCAGTATTTCAAAACAGTTATATTTCATACATAAGATCCTAGAGACTATTTTAATTAGTCGTCTACCAAGGGGACTGCAAACACTCAAAATACTTGAAAGCTTTGTGTGCAATATCTTTTTTTTTTTTTTTTTTTACCGAAGGCTGCTAATTAAGCAACTTCAGTCTGCAACCTATTATAATCAAGGCAAGCCCGGTTTCTGGAACAAGCACATTAGGGCATGTTATATTTAGATTAATAAATACACACCAGCAGACATCTTATAGTAAACAGCTGCTGGAAAAAAAAATCTTTTTTATTTTTTCATGACCAATAACCAGGAGCTCATATGAACACAGGCACCTTCGAAAGAAAACACCAAAGAAAACAACAACAGCGGCACTGACGAGCACCAGAACATTGTCACCGTAGCACAATTACAATGGCAGTTTCTATTTACACACAGCTCAGAGTAAAAACTAGTACAGCCAGCAAGTGAGATAGATAATAATAACAGTCACCAAGTGTTTCTCCCTCAGGAGGAGGGAGATGGAAATCTATTCAACTTTGGGGAAAGGAGAAGAAACAAAACGATGCATTTAGATAAACACATTGTAAGACATACATAGCAAGTGCTTTCAGTTAATGTATTGCGATATTTTATCAACTCCATACAATGAAATATCATCAGTTCCATGATCTATGGTCCTATATCCACAGACGAGACTATAGTGCGCGTCAATGCGAGCGGAGTAAAAAATAATTTATTTCCGTCTATCACGAATATTAGCGCGAACCTGTGCACTAAAGCATTAAATTGCATAATTGTATCGAGTGAACACAGACTAGACACTCACAATGACAAAATAGTGGCATGAAGCCTTAAAAATATCCTCTAATTAAAGGCCCTCGTTTCTGCTGAAATTTGACACCGTTTAACAACTGGGCTACTTTTTTCATTGCATTTGAGTTAATTGTTGCCTAACTAACAGCCTTCAGCAGCAATCGTCATCATTAAGAAAAGCCTCTGAACCTTTGAAACCCGCGCTTCAACTCTTTCTGCACTGCATTATGATGTGTTTACAGAGATGAAATGCTTGAGGGAGTGTGTTAAAGAGGAGCCCGTGTCGTGATGTCAAACCCCCGCTGGGCTTACGCACGTGAGCCTGAACAAGCGGCGGCGCGAAACGTGACAAACGTCACTGCGACGCTCGCTTGACGTCTGCATTAAACCCAGACCAAGTGTTCTTGTCACTAGTGACAGTAATTATCAATGTTGAGATGAGCCGCTCATTTGTATCATCCCATCAGGTGACATCTACATCATCAACGTTTTCACAATCTAATAAATCAGACAAGGGTCGTTCACACAGGACGTGGTTTTGCGGTCTAAAACACAAGATGAAACATCGAGGATATAGAATAACGCTTTTAAAAGATGAAGGGCAATAACTTGCAATTGGTTTTCGTTTTAAATATTTCCTACACCTTTAGCCTAAACCCCTTCTCAAGACGCTGCATTGTTCTTTTATTGTTTTTTAGACTTTTTACTGGTCCTCTTTTATTGCTGGTGTAACCTCTCACACCCGGGTCCAACTCGACCCGCTCCGAGCGGGCCTCGAACCGGCATGAGAGTCAGGCGCGCTAACAAGGAGGCTAAAGACTGCAGCCTCTAGCGTCTGTCGCTAGAGCGCCTATTGAGATCTGGGAGTGAGGTTTACTCGCACAGCAACTACTAGCTGGCCTCCGTTACACTGGTTCATTGTTTTATGGACAATACTTTCTCTAACGAAATGCAGTCATCTCAATAGGAATAAACGCAATCTTTAATTTCGCATAACATTTCCATCCTCGGATTACACATCGGATTCACATTTGAACTGTAAGGGGCCGTTCAAGTTTTTCCACTCCACAGTGCGCTTTTCCATTGTTTTTCAATAAACACACGCTAGACTGACGTCTTTAACCGTTCCGTTAGCGTCTTTTGCAGCGTCTCCAACAAGACACCATTCTAAAATCGTCGAGCTCAAGTTAAAATTGATTAAAAACTTGTTCGTCTCGCGATATTTAACAGCAAAAACGCGTTTTGCGTGAACCGTCCCTTAACACTATTTTTTTAGCATTTACGAATATAGTAGAAGGCCAATGGAGCGTTTTGTTGTGTCTAAGTTTAACTTATTTTAACTTGAGCGCTGCATTTTTAAAATGCTGCGTCATTCATCTTTCGCATGTTTACGTTTAAAAAAATGGAAAAGTATTGCAGTGGAATGGAAAAACACATTCTGTGTGACCTGGTCATAAGGGTGGGTATTGCGGTTAAAAACGCGAAATGCAGATTAGTTAAGTAAAAAAAAAGAAACGGTTTTTAAAAGTTGAACTTATGTTAACTAGCATTTTTAGAATGTCGTGACTCGTGTAATGCATGAGACGCTGCTAAAGATGTGGAAAAATGCGTTCTGTGTGAACCGGCCCTTATTGGGTCTTAATTTTTCATCAAATTTAAGTGACATTTGTACAGTTTACTTGCTATTAACTGTTATATCATGTCAAATTTGAGAGATAATCTTTGGGTTTCTTGAGTTTCGAACAATTTCAACTGTATTTCTCAGTTTGTAAGTGTTATTGTCAAAAAGTTAAATGAATAATATGGTACAAATCAAGTTGAATTCATTTTTTGAAAACCCACCAATTTCAAGGGTGTCCCTCATCTGGATAACATCATTTTCTTTTATAAGCATATAAATAAAACATCCGTTTATTCATAGCTACATTCATAGCTATTGCATCTACAATAAAATCTGTCCCCCATCAATGACTTTATAAATCACATTGGCATAGAGTCATCAAGTACCTTCTTCAATGAACAGCTTCAATATACATATAGTCAATGTGCAATAATGGATAATACACAGTTATTGAATATAGTCTAGACATTGCTTACTGGTCAAAACAATAATTTTGGTAAATGGCATGGATCACCCTAGCACACCTCTTTTCCTTTATGGCTTTACAACTCAACTGCTGCATCTTTTTTTCCTGCTAGCAGTGGCATGCAAAGATGATGACATCCTGAGTTTCCCTTTTTCTCTTTACACAGTAGACTATCATAATGTGCACAGGGCGTCAGACGTCCGTCCTTAACATCAAACAATACTTGTAAAATCAGCAATGTCAAAAGAACAGACAACGGGACAGAACGTGTGAATAAAAAATAAAAAAGCACAGTTTGGGCTGACTACATTGGTCCTTGAGATGAACTGGTCCTCTGATTTGGATCATTTCGAAGTGCTTATGTTGCATCCGTCAGGCGTTTGTTTTTATAGCCTCTACTACGGCGGTCAGAAGCTGGTTATTTTATTGTCAGCATCTGTTGGTTTTATGGCAGTCCATTCACTAGATGTGAGCACATGGCGCTAAGTTTAGAAGAGGTCTAAGAAGAAGCCACACATATTTGGCTTTCGCAGTGGAAAGAATGAAGAATGTGTCAGTTTCTATCAGCGCTTCAGCCAATCAGTTTGGAGCATTCTCTCTTAAAGGGATAGTTCACCAAAAAAATGAATATAAATTGTCATATACTCACTTTGTTTTTAAGCTGTTCCCAATCGTTATGACTAATTTTCACATGTGGAACACAAAAGATGATGTTTTGAAGAATGTTCACGAGGCTTTTTTTTCCCCATACAAAAAAAAAAGACTTTTGAGCTGTATAAATGTTCTTAAAAAAAAAAAATCTTAATTGCACTTCTGCATATTCAAACATGACCTGTTGCATTCGGTTATGAGACTGAAAATGTTCAAAACATCTCCTTTGTGTTTCACAGAAAAAAGCAAATCAAATGGGTTCATAAAGAAGGGTTAAGTGAATTTTTTATTTTTATTTTTTTGGAGGGGTGTATGGGGTGTTTAACTGTCCCTTTAAGGAATACTTATGGGAGAAGCCCTTTGTGGTAGAACATACCATGAAATTGTGTGACTTTTAAAAAGTGGTGAAATCGCATGATGAAAATGAATACATTTTCAAAGGAAGTGGTTTTTGCAAGTAATTCCTATAGTAACAGCAGCCTGCCTGCCCTGTGCCTGTTTTTACAGATAAAACATCACAAACAACACATTCATAAATTCAGATCATATATTTTTTGTGTTTGTTTTCTTCGGCATGCACATGCAGTATTACAAAATACAGTTAGATAAGTAAATACTTGAAAAAGTGTAAAAATCCAGTGCGACAGTCTTTGAGTTCTTGAGGTTAACATGGTTCTTGATTGACAATGGTCAGCAGTGAGATAATCCATTCAGAGCGCTTAGCCTACTTTCCCATCCAGTCGTTTTTGGACGGGTTATTGTGGTTCTTTCTAAATACATTTGCTGCGTGTTTCATAGGGAGCGCGGCACTGTGTTTGTTTACATGCAAGCAGCTCCGCAACATGCGCCAATCGTTTTCTCAAAAATGGCTGTTGTCTACAAAAGAGCTTTCTGCTAAAATAAAAACTTGGTTTTACACTTTAAAATTAAGAAATAAGAAATAAAACTGTGTAATATAGTACTCCAGATCAGAAACATAGTGTCGGCCCACATCTGGGCCAACACTATGTTGCTGTCTGGGCTGTAAAATAACATTATTACATTATTTTTCTTAAATACTTGATTTTTTTTTTTTTTATCAATATGATGTCATACTGATATAAATTACAAAATGTTGGTAAAATAGTAAAAAAAAAAAAAAAACTTATTTTAAATTTTTATCAGGGTAAAAAACTAAAATAAAATGCAGCCCTACTTTGAAAAACCCGAACAAACTTGTGATTCATAACCCATAGCTGTTCTGGGCATGATTCTATCTGTTAGACTGGAGTTTTAGTCTCTGACAATAATGGATGATCTCACTGTTTAAGCATCTTGTAAGAAAAACGTCCCCCCGGTTTTTAAAACGCATTAAAAGCCGTATTCAACAAACCCCTGCTTGAAATGTTGATTAAATGTTTCCCGCTGCGTTTCCAAAACCGGAGTTGAAAACAACAAGACAAAAACAACTACAATATTGTTGCAAAAATCGTTTTACAAAGCACAACCAGGAAAAGACACCCCCACCCCAAGCTTCAAATGCATCAAAAAACACTTTGAGCAGGGGAGAGGGGGGGAAGCAAGATCTAGTCCTTAAATCAGTAAAAAAAAGGGGCCTCAACTCCCACAAGTTTAAATCCAGACAAAATGATGAACTCAGACAAGCCGACACCAGAAACATTCCTTTGCTTTTCTGTGCATCTCCACGCACAATATCAGACCTCACCAAGGCACAGTCAGACTCCTATATATCCTCATACAAATACATTCCTGAATGCAGTCAGAGGGACTGTCCCCCTCCACAGAAAATAAAAACAAAACCTCTCAGGCCCCCTGAACTAGGATAGACATGACCTGATCATGCACCACGTGGGAACCCAGCATCTATTTGACCGGTACTATGCATTACAGAATGCTAATGCTGAACGACAGCTAAGATTATAAGCCCTCAAAGAGAGAGCAAGTTCTATCCTGATGACTGTTTGATAATAGAAAAAAAAATTAAATGTGTGCAGTCTGGAATGTTTCTTTCGACTACCTTTTTTTTCCCCCCTTCTCAGCACTATCTACAGCCTGTACTCTTTCTTGCCGTTTGTGGTTCGACACAAACATGCAAGTTACGTAAGTGGACTACTGAGTGGCCCATCTGCCATCTGGCTGTAGCTGAGTGGCGGTTTGGAGTTACACAAACAATTCAGTCTACGCAAAGACTGTCAGATTGGCTCATCTGCACAGATCTAACACTACAAAATCCATATGGATATCCGTTAACATCCCATTTTTGATGTGTGGGAAAAGAGACGGCGAGACCTCTTTAGAAATGGCTAGCTAGCATGTTAAAACTCTGGACTTGGTGAAAGTTCAGAACAGGAAGCATCTTATTCGGTTCCCTGGTGTGTTGAAGTAGCTTAACATATGGATCAGAACATTTACACATTTTGAGTAATACAACATTATTATTAGTTACCCTGGTTATTTCCTATACGGTGTGTTAACACAGAACCAGAAAAGACTACTTATAGGTTAAAGACAGCGAGTGTCCCGCTGGATCTGAACAATAAAAGCTTGGTACTGCGTTACTACGAGACATGGACCCAAGTAGGTATTCGTGAGAAGTGTCCTAAATACTGTTTAACAGGTAGCTTATATATGTACTAATGTAGGTACATTATATATGGTTTAAATTGTGAACAAAGTTGGCAATAAACAAAGAAAATAGTGAAAACACGACCTACTCGTTGCAGCTTGATATGCACCGTGTGTTACTGTGTTTGTTAAATTTCATGCTGTACAACAAAACAAAGGCCAGTGCAAAAGAAAACTAGCACCCCTGATGAACACGAGCTAGATAATAAAACCGTAGCCGAAGGTGTGTGAAACATCATTAGAAATCAAACGCACCGTGATGTTACGTACAATAACTTCACACAACAGCTTATCCGAGGCAAGAGCATTACCAAAACCTGCTCTTAAAAATGACTTCAATCTCATTTGTAGGAAACATGATGAAAAGAGTTCCCCCACTGAGTGTAAACAGTTGTAGAAATCAACTTGCCCTCTTACGTAAAACGCCCATGAGATTTTGCAGACCCTTTGGTCTATTATAGCACCAGGAAGGGAATGGAGGGACGGGCAGAAGCCTCTGAGATGTTCCTCACACCAGCTGAGGGGCCAAAATATGCAGCTATTAATTATTAAAACTCGTCTTCATCTCTGGCATAAGATCACAAAGTGTTTTGACGGGTATTGGAGTCGAATTGGAGTGCTAGAGCCTTTAGGTGCTGGTGTGTGGTTTCAAAAACAGGTTGCCTCGTACGGAAAGACGCAAGAACCTCGAGACCGTTTCCATGCATGTGTCAACCATCATGTATATCTTGTTTGATAAACATGAACTCTATAAACAAGACTCAAATCCCATGAAACCAATGGCAGTTTTAAAGTGTTGTTGTTTTGGAGATGCTATTTAAATATTTAAATGCAAATTGATATTAATTATAGATTCACATTCAAAATGTTCTTGCTTTACTCAGATAAGCAGCAAAAATCTGATTGGGCGGGTCAATCCATTGAATTTTTTTAGTTTTGTAAATCAGGTGTGAAATCAGATTGAATGCATCTCAGTGTAAACAAACAAATAAGATTTCAAGTAGCTTTTCCAAGTACTCTACCATACTTTAAGATGTTTTTGAGTCTCTTGTCGTCATCCTGATCATTCCTAAAGCAACCAGTGAACAAATGGAGCTAACTTGAAATTGGATTTGAAACCAAATCGGATTTATGTGCAGTGTGAGCAAAGCCTTAAACACCAAGCATTACTCTGGGCGTAAAACAGTTTGTTTTGGAGAACTGAATACTGTATACCTTATCTATATACACATATCCACAGTATGTAAGAGGGGAACCATGTGATGAACAAAACAGAAACAGACAATTGTGCTGATCACAATTAACACTGTTTGCATGCATATGATGAGTTAACTAGCTTGTGTTGATGTTATGTAGATTATATCATGTTAGACTGTATCAGAGCCACCAAAACAAATTGCCGTATTCTTCGAAAGCCAAACTAAGTGATCAAGTTCTATCCTGGTCATCTTGTGAAAAGAAGTCCGTCCTCCCGCAACCAGCATTCTGCCATGTTGCAAGATACTGTACCAATTACAGTGGAATAACACCATCACATCTGAGTGCTTCCAGCATGAGCTCCAGTGCTGGAGTAGATGTGGCATTATTACTTCCTACTTGAACCTGTGAGGTCAGGAAAAAGGTGAGAGGAAAACAGCTCTACACCTTCCAGAGGTAAAATTAACCACTTTGCAGAGTTTTGATACTCTTTACTCAGTCAGGCATGTTGGTCAAGCCTCACTAGGGAACAGACAGTGGTGCGAGACCACCGCGGGCTCATTTATGGCTCTAATATGAATGCAGTTCATTCCTGCTGATGGAGTCCGATGGGAAGGAGAGGTTGTGTTATGTTGCCTGAATGGCTGGTTCTTGCCACTGCTAACTTCGATGCAAGTCTGTGCTGTCGGATTTGAATGATTGCAATCTTTGTACTTCATTCAATTGAAGTTACACAAGAAGAAGAGGAAAAAAGGAAAGAAAATGGCACGTAAAAACCCTTTTTGGTAGCCTGTGACAAAAATCACAGAGTTCTCTGCTGTTAAATCTAACTGCTGGTTTTGCTTTTACTGATCGCATCCCTGAAAGAAATGTCCTATTGGTAAACGCAAATATAAAACCAGAGATATAAAATCCGTCCTTTGTAGGTGCAATTGCTTGTGACAGCACGGCTGAAAGTCCTCGTCCCAAACTTTTTTTTCTTTTTTTTTGCATTGATGAATTCAAGAGAGTTGTCCAGTCAACATCCCAAAACTAAACCCAATTGTGGTACATTCTTAAAGAGACAGGGTTTTCTGGATGTCCAACCCTTAACCTTTAGTAAGATAGGCAGGAGAAATGCGGAAAAAGAAACACTTTCTCAGGTTCTGTTTTATAGCACTCTCACAAAGTCTGAAAGAGAGCTTTCTTCTCTTTTAAAAAGAGCTTGGACAGAGGCTGGCCTTGCCTTAACTGGTCCTTTGAGAACTGACAAGAATGTTTTTTAAGTAGTCTATCGAACACAAACAAAAAGAGATGGATCACAAGTCGTTTTTTTTTCTTTCTTTCTTTTTTTAAGGCACTCGCCTTGAGTGCGTCTGTTGGTTTTGGAGGAAATGCAAAAGGGTTTGACCCCTGAAGTCCACATAGGTTTAAGGTGAGGCAGGGTGGGTCTGTGGTCAGTAACAAAGAGAAGGGACATGTTTCATTATGCTATGCATGCAAAAGGAAGCCCACCCTGTTTTTCGTGGCTCAGCCATCAGCTGCTTCAGTCAACAAATCTCTGGCAGGCTTTCTTCCAGCGGCAGGCCGTGCACCACATGTCTCTGTTTTCCATGCCGTAAACCTTACGACACTTCTTCCCCTCGCCTCGTGACTTCCTACTGCACAGCATATAACAAAACACAAAATAAAAATTGTGTACTTGCATGATTCAAATTTGGAGCTCAAGGCAAGTTCATCTGTACGGAGGCGTATTGCATTCACTTGAAGAAAAAAAATCTACTCTGTTTTTCTGAATTAACAAGTTAATTTTTCATGAGAAAAAAAAAATTTGCTCTGTTTTTCTGAATTAATGAGTTAATTTTTCATGAGAAATTTTTTTTTGCTGTTTTTATGAATTAATTAGTTAATTTTTCATGAGAACATTTTTTTTGCTCTGTTTTTCTGAATTAACGAGTTAAGTTTTCATGAGAAAAAAATTTTTGCTCTGTTTTTCTGAATTAACGAATTAATTTTTCATGAGAAAAAAAAATTGCTCTGTTTTTCTGAATTAATGAGTTAATTTTTCATGAGAAAAAATTTTTTTAATATGCTTTAAAAGAAACCATGTACAAGTGCATAAGTCAGCTCTATTGCTGAGTATTGAAATCACTTATTTTTATGTGTATGAAAAATAGATAATCATTTTGTGATTTGCTTTGTCATCAAAGAGAGCTGCGCATATTGTTAATTGTAGTTTTCTACACATTTTAAAGTACAATATTCATTTATTTAGGTGTAAGGCTCTTAATGAACAGAAGTGCATTTAAGACTGTACCTGAGTGAGCCTGCAGCTCTAGGGGGAGACGAGAGCACTGCGATGGTCTGAGAGCGCTGCTCCCCAAAGCCCTGCGTTTGGCTGTGAGTGGGAGACGCCTGCAGTCAGAGAGAGAGAGAGAGAGAAACACATTATTCATCCATTTCCTGTCATAAAAACCTCAAAGTGTAATTTACAGAAACACTCAGCATAAAATGGGGTCTGTTTAGCTTGTTTTGGGAGAGTTTTGGTTTTTTTTAGTTATCGTCAGAACAACTCGCATCTCAGAGATGTGTCTGACAGTGATGTCAGGTAACTGAAATGTGCAATCAAATGAAGGGCTAAACTGTGGTAGATCAGTGGGTGGTTATGAGACACAAACGATGTGAATAAGGGGACCGTCTAACACAAGGCACAATGGAGTTCAGTGTGTGCATGTGTGTGATGGGCACAGGAGTGAGTGTGTGTGTTTACTCACAGAGGTGCCAGTGAAAGTGACAGGTGGGGACTGCCAGGAGATACTGAAACTGCTGCTGGAGGGGGTGAAGCCAGTGGAGGTGGTGGAGGGGATGGTAACAGGGGCTGTGGCCTGTGGGGTGACAGTCACACTGATATAGAGTCTCTACGGGCCCGGGATCATGACTCGGCTGCATGTATACAATGTGATAACATCTAGCATTCAAGCAGTGGGCTTTCCTTTATTGGTCACCCTATTATTGGTCATTTAAAGCTATGTAACAGTTCAGCATAATTACATTCATTGTTTAACAGAGTTATCATTATGTAACAGTTTTTATCATTTTGTTTTGTGCTTTGGTTTTCAGTTTCAGTGTTAAGTATAGTGGTTCTCAAATCCCGTCCTGGATTGTCAAGAATGCAGTTGTGAGCCCGGAAAATGTGCTGGTGTCAGTTCGGTGCTCCTAAAGCTCCTATAAAAAGCTCATAAAAAAACAAAACGCTGTATGAACGCAACCGTATTAAAGGGGTAGTTCACTTTAAAAAAAACTTTTGCTGATAATTTACTCACCCCCATGTCATCCAAGATGTCCATGTCATTCTTTCTTCAGTCGAAAAGAAATTACGGTTTTTGATGAAAACATTCCAGCATTTTCTCCATACAATGCACTTTACTGGGAACCAAACGGTTCAAGGTCCAAAAGACAGTTTCAGTGCAAACTGTTCAAAGGGCTTTAAAAGATTACAGACGATGAATAAGGCTCTTATCAAGTGAAACGATCACCCATTTAAAAAAAAGATAACAAAGTTTAAGTTTTATAAGCTCAAATGGTCGCCTTGCTTTGTTCTGTGATGCGCGTTCATGACTCTCCTGTTCAAACTCGTTCATCAAAGTGAACGAATCTTTTTCCGAGTCAATTCGTTCATTTCGTTCGTTGAATGAACCAAATGACACGAAAAAAGATTCATTTTGATTCCATTTGAGCTTATAAAACTTAAACTTTGTTATTTTAATGAACGATCGTCGTTATTCATTGTCTGGAATAGTTTAAAGCCCTTTGAACAGTTTGCAGTTTGCACTGAAACTGTCTTTTGGACCTTGAACAGTTTGGTTACCAGTAAAGTCCGTTATATGGAGAAAAATCCTGGAATGTTTTCATCAAAAACCTTAATTTCTTTTCGACTGAGGAAAGAATGACATGGACATCTTGGATGACATGGGGGTGAGTAAATTAACAGCAAAAGTTTTTTCAAAAGTGAACTACTCCTTTAAGTGGCACTGCCATACTAGCCGTTAACATCTGGCTAGAACATTGTCACTATATATTTCACAATATTTCTGTTATAAATAAATGAATGAAGTCTTGGTGAGTATAAGAGACTTCTTTCAAAAAACATGAAAAAAACGACTTGAACAGCCGTGTATGTGATGAAGAGAAACGTGACTTCTCATGTGTTGTGACCTTATCATCCTCCATATTGAAATTGAGTGGTGTCTTTATGCACAGCTTTGGCCTGTTGATATTTCAATCATTGAGGCTGTCATCATATTCATATTAGGCCTGCTTTGCTTCTGCTAGAGGTTGTGTACTGAGAGCATCAGTATATCTCTCAAGTGATGTAATGTTATGTAATTGTACGTAAAACTCATCGTGATTGGATGGGCTGTACCTGGTAGGCGTGGTCTGTGTGCACTAGGTAGAGTGCGCTTGGAGCGGAGCGACTAAGAGGGGTGGTGGTGCTGTTCTCATTCTTCACCCCGTTAGTGCCATCCGGCTGTCTCTGGTCCAAACCCGGCGGGGGAGACAGAACAGACGGGGACACAGGAGACAGACTGCTCAAACCGTCCGCCACCGAGTCTGTGTTCAGCTTAATCTCGGTGTAGTAGAAATCCTCCTCACCGTCACTACACTCGGAGTCACAATTCCTCCTGAAGAGAGACAGATCATTGAAACATTGTTATATCAACACTATGACTTGCTTTCATTTAACAAATCCAATTGTAATATAACTGCTTTAATTATACAACACTATACTTTTCTGTCATACTGTAAATCCCTATAAAGGCAAATCACATTACTTCCACACTGAAGCTGAAAAAAATGGCTTCAAAGTTTTTGATTTGCTTGATTTTTAATATGAATTCATTTTTATATTTGATATAAACATTGTTTTTTACTCTGAATCTGAGCATATAGCAATAGTTAAGCCAAACCTGTCATTTTGAAACTAAAGTAGTAAACGTGTACTACTTTATACCTTACGCAACTTATGATACCAATAAAACAAGAACAAATATAATAGAGCAAAAGTTACACTTACAAAGCATGTAGAAGTCTGTAATTTTTATCATAGGAAATCTACAACTGTGAGTGACGGAATTTAAAACAAAAATCTAGAAAATCACATTGATTTTTAAGTAATTCATTCGCATTTTATTGTATGACATAAGTATTTGATACATCAGAAAAGCAGACCTTAATATTTGCTACAGAAACCTTTGTGCCAGAGGATTACTAGATTAAAAGAGGGTATTTATAGGCAGTGGTCAATTTAAGACCTAATGCACAGATCCAATATAATGATATACATCATTGAGATTTCTTTCTCAACTGTTTGTATGTAGTATGGTAAAGGTATAGTGTAGCATTCTGTGTTACAGTATGATATAGTATATTATAGTGTAGTGTTCTAAAGTATGGTATGATTTAGTATAGTATAGTATAGTATGTTATGGTATCGTGCAATACTTTCAGCCATTTCAACATTTACTTGATGCATAAGACTGTCAGTTTCTCATGTCCTTTCATTGAACCATACTTCTGAAAATGAGATTTTCTCAGAAATCCTCCCGGTATCTCCCAGCAGTACTTACGCTTGTGTGGTTTAATCAGACTTCAGCAGAGAGAAACATAAACCTTACTTCACAATCATCTGGCCTTTGCTGTCATTACTTTGTGCCTCGCAGTAATAGTGTAAGCGTGGTGATAATCCTGCTGGAATTAGTCTCATGTTTTGACATTGAACCAGGAGCAGTCTGTTATCTCTTATCTCTCACTATATGCTATCCAGAGATCACTGTGATGAATATCAGCCAAGAGATAGTGTAAAACCATAAAATGTGAATGGGTTTAAGTGTACATGAAACGTTTTTTGTTAATAAATGTTAAGCTAAAAGATTTTTTTGTACACTTGGGTTGATGTACTGGGTTTGTTTCAAAGTGTTACCTCGATAATATTACCTCGATTATAAAATGATCAGCATGAATACACAGGGAATTTTCCCACACTTTGTGGACTTATTTTACACATGTACACTACCATTATTAAGTCTGGGGTCAGTAAAGGTCCTTGTACAATGAGTCCGAAATTCTCGTCCGAAAATTTTGCACGTTAAAAAATAAATACAACATCACATTATGGCAATAACGTTTACACACTGCCTCCGAGACTATCCTCCATCATAAAAAAATTCGGATCTGGTTAGATTTTCTGCCTTTTTTGCATCCGTAGCAAGCATTTTGAGAGGCGTTTTGACAACTGAGAGCCACTGAATGATGAAAACGAAAAAAACATATATACGAGAATTTCGGATTCAAGGTTAGTTCGATTTTCTGCGTTTTCTATAGCAATTATTTTGAGAAGTGTTTTGACAATGCAGAGCCAATGTAAAAAGCAAATGGCAAAATCAAGAACTGTCCAGGATCAATTGGTTAATGTAAATTGGTGGTCTTGTTTTTAATATGTGAATCCAGTATCGCTAACACTGCATCAAACTGGGCCGTGACTGACATCCTGAATTAAATGTTTTATCGCTCTGGATAATCCCGCAGCTCCTGGAAAAGGAGGTGGAACCCTTCTTCCTTTCATACGTAATCTCAGGATTGGATAGATTATTTTTTATTTTTAAGAAAAGAGAGGACAACAAAATCGTCGTCACTGCTTAAAGACTCCATTTTGTATGTATTTTATGCGCAACAGATCAATTAATACGCATCAGACATGTAGTGTGCAAGGTTTCTGTGCGTGATGAATTTTTAAAGCAGCACTATGTAACTTTTTCAACTTTTATAATATTTTTCCAAAACCCTTGAGATGGTACATCGACTTACAGTAGTTTGAATGGCAGGTCTGCCATAGCCTACAGTGTCTGTATCGCTTTTACTGGCACTATGTAACAGGATGCGGGTAGGAACCCGAGCACAAAAAGAACTACAAAATTCGACTTCTTTACGGCAGAAACATTTCATATCATCAATGTTTAAAACAGTTGTGCTGATTGATATTTTTGAGGAAACTTAATATTTTCATATTATTTGATGAATAGCATTTATTTGAAAAATTTATGTGAAATTATTGTAAATGTCTTCACTGTCACTTTTGATCGACCCCCCAAACTATAGAACGGGAATGTACCAAACACCCCTCTCATAAACAAATTTGTATTACCGTTAGGGTTGGGTATCGAGAATCGAGTATCAATTGGAACCGGGACTAACTTTTCGTTTTTCCCGGAATCGTTCAAAAGTTAAAATTTCGATTCGTAGTTTCGATATTCACAGTCCGCCGACCGGAAGAAGAAACCGCTGAACAACACCAACGAAGAAGCGTCTACCGGAAGTGTTGGCATAACCGCGCAATTCGAACATGAGTAGCTTACGGCGGCGGTCCAAAGTGTGGCTTCACTTTTCTAAAAATAACGAAATCTCGGCAAAATGCAAAATTTGTGACAAAATGAGTATTTCCTTCAGAAAGACCGTTTTGACCCTGCCTCTTAAAAGAATCAGAATCGAGAATCTTTAGGAACTGGAATCGAAACAAGGAATCGGAATCAGAATCGTTCAAATTCAAACGATACCCAACCCTAATTACCGTTAAAGGCACAATCTATAACAAGCCTAACTGACATAAAATGAGGCGTGTTTGCGCAGAAAAAAAAAGACAATGACTTCATTTAAATATGACGCAATGCTATTTCAGTACATTTAACACCCGTTAAAAATGCATTGAGGGTGTTTATTGAATACGATACAATATTTTGTGATACCACAGGTGGCTTACCCCAAGTGGACGGTTCGAATGTGCCTCTGGATCCCGGCGGCTGTGCTCAAGACCTTTCCGCAGTTCTTCCACAGACACTTGAACATCACCTTCATGGAGTTCTGTCAAGGACACAGGTGCACAGTGAGTACACTAATCAACATCAATTGCAAGACCTCTTATACTCAGTATTCAGATGCTCACAAAAGAATGACACGGGAGGATTCAAGGGATGAGAGCAGAACCCAGAGCCTCAGCAGGACGCTTATCTTAGATGTCTCTCCCGCTCTATTTCGAGGCTGGTAATTGGTCGGCATTGAGAGTGACACTATAGCGCAGTCTTTCAAAGCTCATGTCATTTTTCACACAATGTGTCTGCACTAATTACACAATTGTCATTTGAGAACTGCGGCTCCCGTGTCAAAACTGCACTCGAGTTGAGAGCACAAGTTAGCGTAAGTGAAGATGAAGGTCTTAATACTTCGATCTCTTGACATATGCTTTTATGTCGGGTGGCATGGTGTAGTTTGTTTACCATTGTCATGACGCTAATTTAATTTTCTCTAGATGGCCATTGTGTTGGTCTGGCAAACAAAGCAGTTCATTCCCACATAATCGGTTCACCATGTCCCTGGATGACAACAGCGCCGTAATTCCCAGTGCTATAAACCAGCTCCTAATTAACAACAGTTGAAACCGGCTGGTGTCCTCGTGTTGAAGTCAACTCTCTAGAAGGCAGCTGAAGGTCAAAGCAGAAAGCTTAGCTATTTTTCTTCTTTTAGGAAAGGCTCTTTAGAAGCTGCTGCCAGGAAAGACACTGAGAAATGACTGATTGATGTGGTTGGAGGCAGCTCGTGATTCCTAGAACCGCAATTACTAGAAATTAATCTAAAAGGAATTTAACTTCTTCATCAACAGCATTATTAATTAGTTATATTTGTAGGAATTGGTGTGAAATCATTACTTACCTTACAAGGTTTTTAGGTCATGGTACCAAGGTAATGTGAGTGTGTAAATACCATACAGGTAATACATAAATATGGTAATCATTCAGTAACACAATATTTATGAAAGTACTAAGGTATTACCATGTTTTATGGACATAATATGCGCATCTATCAGCACACAAAAAGTGCCAACAGTACCATGGCACTTTTGAACATTTATTCCTTTTTTATTTTAAGTATCTAAACATCATGAAGAATATTATCACGATACAATCAATGTACCATGGTACTATCAAAGTAATTTTTGTAAAGGTTGTAAGTACCATGGTACATTGTGTAGTATACTCTGTATAATAGTAGTACCACAGTTTTTTTAAAGGACCCCTATTATGGCCTTTTACAAAGTCTTGATTGACTGTTTTGGGGTGTACTAGAATAAATTTTCATGCTCGATTGTTCAAAAAATGCATTATTTTTTCACATATTTTACATTATTACAGCTCCTCTCTCGTAGGGCTATGAAACGATTAATCACGATTAATCGCATCCAAAATAGAAGTTTGTGTTTACATAATATATGTGTGTGTACCGTGTATAATTATTTTGCATTATAAAATATAAAATACACACATGCATGTATATATTTTTTCAAGAAAAATGTGTTCTTTATATATAATATAAAAAAAAGTCTGATGTCGACTTAGTTAGTCATTTTTTATTTTAGTACATAAAGTTAAACCTAATTAGCTAAAATAAAATGAATAAAGAAGTTCTTATAATACAAAATGTAACAAAAAAACTTATATATTTATGTCCATGGGATGAAATGCAAGGATAATAGCAGTGATAATGAAAACAAGGCACTGACAAACACTGGTATTGCTGTTGTCCTCGAATCCTGAGCTAGAGAGACAATAACTGAGATAAACGAAGGTCTATTCATTCCCACAAATGAGGGAAGACTGACAGAATCTGTGATGCACCTGACATGAGCCTGATGAACTGGAAGATAAAGTAGATTGGTGCCTGTGAGCAGCCTAGTGCATTGGTAACTTGTCTTCGTAAAGACAAGTAAATTGCCTCTCTACACAGCATCATCATGTCTAGTAATGGCACCTCCAAACGAGCCACATCCCAGAGAGGACAGTGTGTTATTAAAAGTAAAGAAATATGTACCCACGATTTCTTAAATAATCTGTCTGCAATGCTAGTATGAGTCCAGATATAAATCACTTTAACATGCCTTCCTCTAAATTCAGGAATCATGTCACGTGCAGGAATAAAATGTAAAGTTCAAGGTCTGTCAATCATATAAAATAATTTAATCATTCTTTATTCAGCTCAAATAGCATATTTCTGAACCTGCATTGAAATACATAGGGAAATGCACTGAACACAATGTAGAAATCTTTTTTTTTTTTTGTTGCGCTAGTTCTTTGATTAGGGCTTTTCCCATTCATCACGGTTTTGAAATGTGTTTTAGGCTGATAGGTTTTTTTTTTTAAATTAATATTATTGTAATATACCATGTTGGAATGTTCCCCTAACCATTATATTCCATTCATAAAAAAAGGCATAATGGCCTTAACTAGTGGTTGACTAATGTTATTTGTAGACACCCATAGAGTTTTAAAACTGATTTCTGATTGACCTGATTTGAACATTTTTAAACAAATATGCTGAATGTCAAACAAATTTCCAGTCTCCAAAATACATGAAATCCCAGGAGCAGTTTATTGTTCAACCCAAACTAGAAAAATTATTAGGCCTATTCGAGCAATTAACAAAATAAAATAAAGCAGTTTAAATGAAACTCAATACACTGTAACCACCGCTAACAAACTTTCTCCTCATTTACACCAGCCATAATCAAAAATACAACTATAATACTGGCATATTTTTTTAACAGATATTTAATATTTGCAAACGGCGTTTTTGGTGCCGATGAATATGCAATTCGACCTCAAGCATAAACATGAAGTATTCAGCACCCACATAAGGGTCTTTGTCTCATTCTAAAATGCATTTGAATTTCACTTCAAGGATCACAAACCGTGCCAGGGACATGGGCTGTGGATTTTTGTGCCGCTCATTGTAAATCTATCATCTTCCTTTGTCCATTCTTCCTAGAGTAGCGTTTAACTAAGTTACGTCTGATCAAATCTCCATAAGTGAAGGTGAGATGACAGTGGCTCACCTTGCGTTTGCGGGGGATGGGTTCGTCGAACAGCAAGCTGTTGCCGTCATGCTCATCGATGTTGTCGTCTGTCGGGCCGTTGTGGCTGGGCATCCGAAAGGGTTTGAAGCTGTCAGCGGACAGGGGCGGGGATGGCGTGGACGGGTTGGACTGATCACTGGGCGCGCTCCAGCTCCAGTATCCACTGCTGCTGTAGCTTGATGGAGTGAAACTTCCGTCCTTCCAGGAGCCATTTAGACCCTCTGTATGGAAACAATAGAACTCCGTGAGGGCCATAAAGACACATTAAATGCGCAAAGTAATCATTACCATCATCCCGACATATTGCTCTATAATAAGCTAAACTTTCAATTAAGTGTAATGAGGAGTGTAAAGACATTAACGTCATGTTAGTTTATGAAACTCTCAGTGTGCAGTGCAGGAGTGCTTTAATGCACCGTCATAACAAAAAGTTAAAGTCCTGATTATATTACATAAGACACAATTATAGTACTCTATTAAAGGTCTTCAAAATGTATAACACGTCTGCATCAAGATCTTGCGCCCGTTTCACACATGATCCATTTGTCTCATTGTGCTTGAACTCTACTCCATGTATTCAAATAGACATCTTTTGTAACAATATACACTACCGTTCAAAAGTTTGGGGGTCACAATTTGTTTTCTTTCTTTTTTGAAAAATGAATACTTTTATTAGCAAGGATGTGATAAATTGATTAAAAGTTATAGTAAAGATTTATTTTGTTAGAAAATATTACTATTCGAATAAATGCTATTCTATTTGGCGTTTTATTTATCAATGAATCCAGAACAAAGCATCACATTTTCCAGAAAAAATATTAAGCAGCACAACTGTTTCCAACATTGATAATAACTGAGTAGCAAAACAGCATATTAGAATGATTTCTGAAGGACCATGTGACACTGAAGACTGGAGTAATTGTAAAAAAAAAAAAAAAAAAAGTATCACAGATATAAACTATATTTTAAAGCAGATTAAAATAAAATTAAACTATTTTAAACTGTAATAACATTTCACAATATTACTGTTTTTTGTATTCTTGATTAAATAAAATCAGGCTTAATTAGCATAAGAGACTTCTTTCAAAACAATAAAAATGCTAATATAAATATATATATATATATATATATATATACTGTATATATATATACACACACAAATACATACATATATATATATATATATATATAATAAATGTAGAACAATTTAGAGTACAGTATTAAAAGTGAAAGATCAGAGAGAGCGAATAGAATTTTAACTCATTTACGACAGTTTTGGTGCAACACCTTTACTAACTTCTTTATATTATTAGTAGATGACCGCTTTAAGACAGCAAAAGCCATGTGATGGCAGAACTAAGTCTGGAAGAACTTGTGATGGCAGAACTGATGCACTAGGACACTCTCATGTGACACTTTTTCATGCGCATGTGACAGTGAAAACAGGAAATTGCTGAGTGAAAAAAAAAAGTTGTTTCTGCAGCTCTTGGCAGGCAGTGTGAAAACGACTTCATGACGACTGTGTAGTTGTGATCTAATGTTACTTACCGCTAACTTTTACTGGAGGGCTCCGCACCAGAGGACTAGTGGACAGGCTGGTCAACACCATGGCTGCCGTCACTTTGTCCATGTCCACCTCCTCCTCGGATTTCCTGTAAGAGCAAGAAACATTACTTAAACTTACCATGAAATTAAAAACATTAACTTCACCTCTCGCTCACATCAACATCTCTTGAGTAGTGTTGGGAATATTACTAAATAAACAATATATTGCTAGACAATCCTACAATGATATATCACGAAATCTATCGAACTGTGAAAACAACATGCCTGTGAAAAGTTTAAGTGCAGGTTTTCTCTCTTTATTCAAGTCTGAACTGTTTAGAGAACAGCACAAAAGGTTTTTCAATCTGTAAATTAAATTTAAAATTAAGTAAATTAAACATTTCATGCATATACTTTTTAAAAGCTTTAACTTTTCTTTGTGGGTAAACTGACGCATTTAACTGCTTATCGACTAGTTTTATATAAACCTGGATACATTACAAAATTTACTAACCTTTTTTATTTAAACCTGGTAGCATATCAGTGTTTACCAGCTTCTTTAAAATAAACATGGGAATAGTGGTGTCAAAGGTACCAAACTGGGTATTTAAAAAAATTCTCTGATTGGCTACAATGATCAAAGCTTTTAAAACATGTTGTAAATAGACAACATGTTGTCTAGGAGTATACTTTTTATATAGTAATAATATAAAAAGCTTACACCGGTACACACGGGAGCGTTTGAAAGCAGGTGTCTATCAGCGGATCCCTAATAATCCACTGATAGACACTTGCTTTCAAACGCTCCTGTGTGTATCTGTGTAAGTGCTTAGTGAAGAGCGTCAAAGATGTCTATTTACAACATGTTTGTTTCCAGACTTCGGCTGGGGCATCTTATTATTTTACTTACACTGCTGTCTGCCCATTAAAAAACTTTTTTTAGGCAAGTTAACTCATGTTCATGTTTCCCTCATTCATGTGTTAACTGCCGCCTCGAAGGAGCCATGAAATGGCGCTGCTTGGATCGAGCAGGGAAATCTATTTAGAGATTTGAAAAATATTTGGCGACACGACAGCGTTTTGATTCTCATATCGCACAGAGAAGGACAACGATATATATCACCCTATCGATATTTTGTCCCACCCCTACTCTTGAGGGTGGGAAAATAAAAGTGGGACAACATTTCAAGAAAACTTGAACAAACTTATGTCACCTCATTTCGAACAAAAGTTTGAAACCGCTTTCTAAAGCAAACCTTCCGAAAAAGTTTGCTCCAGCTAGTAAACGCCTTCAAACTACCATTGGTTTGTGGCGATTACGTAATAAGTAGATGTGCTTCTAGGACGCCGCCACCTTTGACATGGAAATCTTCTCCAATTAATCTCTTCAGATGACCGTCGAGGTCAGACTCGAGTAAAAACATGAGCACACCGGAGAGCCGCTTCATATTGGAAATTGAGGTTGTAATTCTAATTGAAAACGACAGTGAATCCTTGCTTTAAAGCAATCTATTGTGCAAGTGCTAGAAATAAATGTGACGTGACTGGAGTCCGAATTTCAGAGCTAGTGCAGACATATCCACACCGCTTTGATCAGATGCTTTCGTAACTGTCGTTTTCTCACTGCTGTCCTTTTTGTTGAGTGTTCATTTTGTTATTGAGAGGAATATTATTCTTCGAAACATCGAGATGCTCACTAACAGTATACTGCTACTCAGGTATTTCAAACTAGTTTTTACCTCGTAAGTGAAGAAACAGGACTTTGCCTTGAGTATATTGGGGCCTTAATGGTTAGGTATTACAGACCTCCCTAAAATGCTATTACATACATGTTGCTCCAAAGTTCCCTGCCAGCTGCTGCGTTCATTGTTCTGGGATCTCCAAAGCTGCACTGCACAGCGTTCCTATGATGGACAGAACAGGAACATCTGTCCAGACAGATGACTCTCATCACTCACAGATGCGGTGTAACACGTCTCTTTACGATAGCATGATGGAGAACGATGATGTCTCAACACAACCCGTTTTGCTTTGGGAATGGACCAGCTGATCTTACGCTGTTTGCAGGTCTTTAAACAACAAAAAGGGCTGTGTGAAAGACGTCACTTGTTTTAATATAGCAACGGACATCTGTAAAATCTCCGATGAGTATTTCATGGCTGTGATTGAAGGACAGACAATGAATGCGATGACGTGTGGAAGGAGTAATAAATCTTCTCACCTGTCAGCTCACAGGAGCACATTCTCTCTTGGGAAAACCTGAGCTGCCCTGCCAAAGGCACAGCATGAAATCTCATATGAGAGACAGAGAGAGAGAGAGACCTCTGGCTGACAGAGAAGCCCGGCACCTCCATTAGAGATAGGCCTAATTTATGTTTCTCGTGCGGCAAGAATGATGTCATTACGGCTTTCGGATAAATCACGGTAGGCTGCCATCGATGCCGCTTTTCCCAGGACCACACCATTACGGCTACTTCCTGGTCACCTTGGGAGAGCACACTGGGAGTGATGGAGCTTTCCAGATAATGCCACACTGGTGGTCCTGGATGACTGCTAATTAAGAGCTTTAACATCTCTCATCCAGTGGAATATTGTAAACTTCAAGAAATGCATTAGATCCTGTGTAATTAGCATGTGATATACTGCCACACTTGAACAAAAAATGATCTCTGAGGTCCCAAATCACATGAGTCATTAGTGTCCTTATCAAGCCATGGGAGTGAAGCCGGCCGCACATTTATGAATAGTAATTAAAAGACAAGGTGAGCTGCAAAACACACATATGATGGGACACTAAGGGAACTGCGCTCCAAATCGGAGCGCGATCGTTCCCGGCGGTGGTCTGCTTTCACACATAACTTGATTCTATCGAACCCTGGTGTTCATCACAAACCTACACGGTGGTGCATGGTAGAAAACAGTGCTCGGGTCAATATATTGTATTTTCTACTAATTTGGTGCTATTATGCACAGCAGAGTGAACGACACAGTTATTTACACCGGTCTTCCAACTAGTAGATTATGAAAAGATGTCATTTTGCACATCCCTAATCATAGCTTATTCCATCATCACTAGAATATCTTCAACCATGAAGCTGGAAAAACACATTATGGGAGTTACTGTTCTCAAATAGAGAAAAAGAACAGACAAACAGACGCTTTGCTGTGAACCTGTGCTGTATCTGAAGTTGGGTTACTCTCACTGGTTTACTTTGACGTCTTTGGTTTTCTCAATGGGACTGGGACAATATGATCATGCTCTTTCTACTCATTTCCAATCAGGCAGTTATAAATTGATGACCATGTTGTAGAAATGAGCTTGGCTATGAATTACCCAGATTTAAGAGTCAATAATACGCTTCCAGTGGAATCCCTCATTTGCAAGAATGTTTTTTTTTTGGTCATGTGGGTAAATGCGTGAGATGGCCGCCAGCCAAGAGGGGGAGGCAGTCCGCAGACATCTGTTGCGATTCAATGGACAGATGTGCCAACTTTCGTTGCCGTCCAAACTTGTAAGATAAATGATAGAGCGGTTGGCCAGAGAAAGGCTATCCTACATACCTTCAGACATCTGGACCTTTGTGTTTAATTAGTCCATTGAGGAGGCCTGTGCCCACAGTGGTGGAAAACGTGAAAGATGTTTCCAGTTTCGAATATAACGGTGGTTTAGGAGGATATAACAACTGATTGGATTACAGTCATTGTCCTAAGCCAATATCAGTCTTCCTGCATTTAATCACGGTGGACTCATTCAAGCCATTCTTCCTTGCAACAGTGGCACAAAAAATCTTTGACAAAATAACAGTGCTACTTCAACATACCAAAACGATCGAAAACAAATTGCAGTTCATTCAAAATTCAGAGAGCATTTCATTATCAGTAGACACTGATAACTCTGAAATAGCACTGGGGAAATCAGGGGAATTCCCCGAAAAACCAGAGCACTTAGCTCCTCCCCTGCAGCCATCCCCTTCCTGTTCAGTTTTTAGCTAGAACAGGAGGGAGCAGAGAAATGCCTTTGAAGTTGTTCGAGCTGGGCCGTCTATCGTTTATTACAGTCACTAGTGTATGACGCTCATTTCCTTCTAAATAACAGGCAATAAATCAGACACCTCAAGCCTCCCGGCATGTGCTCCTATGTTCTGTTATCCACGTAAAAATCTGCATTCGACATGGGACAAATATGCATGAGAGATATTAATGGATTATAAAACTTTAACCTGCTATAAACATGTAGCATTGTGACTGTGACCTCTGACTGTCAGATACTAATCAGATACGGTCATGGACCGAGCCTTTCGCGTTTTTCCACGGCCGTGTGCAGATCCAATCAACATAAAAAGATAAAAAGAGGCATATATGGCCTGATATCTATCAATTTCCTGTGCAATATCATTACAGTGCAGCTCTGGATGATATGACTGTACTGTATATATTGGATGGCAGTTCAAATAAAAAAAATTGAGCCAGGAGAGTGTCTGAAATTTGGTTGATTTGACCTGAAATGACACTGAAAGTGATGTCAAATCTCTAACTGTGGTCGGTCACTTCAGGAAGCGTCTGTCTAAGGTACGTTTACACTACAACGGTATGCTTAAAACGGAATAGTTTTTCCACGTACAGACGTACAGGCATCACCATTCACGAACTTCCGCTGTTGTCAGAAGTCGGCATTTCAGTTTCCGGTTTACGACTGTTCATCCGCATCCGCTAATAAACAAACAAGATGAGAGCTGCTGTTGTACGAAAAAAAAGAGGTCTTAAACACGTCTAAGTTTCTAAGAACTGTAGGTGGACCTGACGCTAGGGCTGGGTATCGTAACAAAAAATGTTCGATACCAATACCGATACCTCAGCACACATGAAGCTTGGCGCAAAGCAGTGGCAACAGTAGCCTAATGATTTTAATTTTAATTGTTTATTAATGAACAAGTTTGTTAAATGAATGTTTATTTATTATTTGACCGTCTATAGGCCTATTTATCATCTCTATGAGGCAAGTATCCTATATGCTGAGTTTCGGTTTCATTTGTGACGCACTCCAGTTCTTGCATTTGAAAATGGATAAACTTTCTACTCTTAAGTGTCTGTGCGCTTATCAGACTTA